TGTGAGTTGACACAGAGGAACAATCAGAGTCGGCCTCGAAGGAGTCGTGCGCGTATTCACCTTCCAGTAGAGGTTACTCATCGAGAAGGGAACCGAATCATTAGAGAGTTTGGGGAAGACAGTTTCGTCGAATTTCACATGTCGAGTTTTGACGAGCTTTTTGTCACATAGTCGAAGAATTCGATAAACAGAACCTTCGTTTTCAAATCCGACCAGGATACCGATGTCACCGGTATTTCCTAATTTCCAGGATCGGTGATTTTTCGGAACTGCTATGAAAGCCTTACACCCAAAGGATCTTAGGCGGTGACATGGAGCATCTGATTTAGTCCATAGTTGATAAGGAGAAGCAGGACGAGAAGGTGACGCTAACATGTTGGAAATGAATGTAGCTGCATTCACAGCCTCGGCCCAATACGTTTTCGGAAGATTACTGGTAAGGAGAAGACATCTTGCCTTGTCCAGAATCGTGCGATTTGCCCTTTCAGCGAAGCCGTTGAGTTCAGGGGTCTCGGCAGGAGAGAATGTCTGCAGAATTCCTTTTCTTGCTGTGAAATCTGTGAATTTTTTATTGACAAATTCGCCCCCTTGATCGGACACAATCTCTTTGATTGATCCATCTTGAAGATTCTCAACTAGATTTGCGAAGTGTTCAAATTCCTTGAAAGCATCGGATTTTGCCTTCAGAAATCGAACAAATTTGAATGATGAATGTTGGTCAACAATTGTCAAGAAGTATTTGAAACCAGAAATAGAGGGAGGATTGACTGGTCCAACAAGGTCCATATGAAGTCTTTGAAGATTGGAGATTGCAGGAGAGAAATGACTGGAGAATGGAATGAGAGTCATCTTCGAACAAATACACACCTCACAAATTGAACTCTTTTCAGAGATCGGAAGTCCCATAGATTTTAACACCGCATCGGATGGATGACCGAGTCGATGGTGCCACAAGGTATGATCAGATTCTTTAACGTTAAATAACGCCCTTGGACATTGAATGTATTCGGAGTGCAAAAGATTGTCAATGATATTACCGGAGAATAATAAGCCATCATCGTCGGTAATGTTGAAGCGATGTGAATTCTTCTCAATTTTGACGGACGATTTGATGAGTCGAACAAGAGAGACCAGTTGTTGAGAGATTTTCGGAACAAGAAGACACTCATACAGCTTCAAAACCTTTCCGTTTGTGAGTATCTCTGCCGTTCCATGGCCAGTAGCAATGAGAGGAGTGTCAGGGTTGCCGGTTTTGATTATGATTTCTTCGGCGGTGAAGGATGAGAACACATTACGGTTGCGCAACATGTGATGAGAAGCCGCTGAATCAATTACAATGCTTTCAGTGTTTTGATTTGAAACAAAGGAAGTGAATGCCGATGCGTGAGCGAAACTGGCACTAGCGTTAGTGGTCTTCTTTTGTTGACGAGAGTTACCAGAGTAGATGGGACGGAGATGAGGATATTTTTCGAAACATCTCGGCTCAGCATGAGTAGTGGCCTCGGGATTATGATCACCATTGGCGCAAAGGTGCACAATTTTGATAGGAAATTTACCGGCCGACGGTGTTGAGGTGGTGACAAGAGCGGAGGCTTGATCGGGTTCTTTCTTTGATCCCTTATGAGTTAGCCAAGTTTGAAGAGCGTCGAGGACCAGGTAAGGAGACGATGTGCAGTCTTCAGACATGGCACAATTATCAACAATCTTGTCGAGTTTATCGTCATGCATCAGTTTTCCGAGAACTAGATACGAGATAATATCAAGTGGGAGAGTGATACCAACAGCATCGATATCGAGGAGATGAGCCCTGGTTCGATCAATATACTCCTGGAGATTTCCCTTGTACACTTCAGCAGACCATCCCATGAAGACGCGTCCTCGATTGATCACGGAGTGCGAAGCGTATTGAGATGCGATTTTCTTCCAGAGAGCAATTGGATCGGAGTCGGTAAGAGAGTTGACGACCTCGTTATAGCATCGATGATTTATTCTGGAGGTGATGATCGAGATGGCTTTGTCCCCCGCTTCTTCGTAAGCGGTTCTTTCTTCTTCAGTGGCATCCTCGGCGATGGGTACAGTGCAACATTTCCAGAGTTTCTTTCCGCGGAGAAAGATGAACATTCTAGAATGCCAGTTAGTATAATTTGACCCATCTAAGACCGGAACCCCATTTGAAGCGGGGGTATCGTGTTTTTCTGTCCCGGACATCGATCCTGCCTTGGTTTGACTAATGAATTGAGATCGAGGTGATTGAGCCAACGAGACTGTAAATCTGTTAATTACCAAACTTAAGGATGTATTTCAGGTTAGTGAGAGTTTAACAAAGAAATACATGACAAAGAAAATGATCAGGCAAAAAGAAATGAGAGTGTACCTTAAGGCAGGAACAACTAGACAAGGGACACGATAAGCGAAGAAGAGAAGAAACAAGAGCAAAGACTAATAATGAAAAGAAGTCAGAGTCTTGGTTATACCGCCGTCCAGAAGAGAATGGAGTGAACACCTACTGTGACCTAATGAAGGCAAGAGAGGTTTAACAGTCGGCGGAGAGTCGAATAGAAGGGAGACGAGATGAAGTGAGAACGGTCGAGTCGAATGATGTTTGACGACGAGCGATGATAGTTAACAAGCGAGTTGTTTTATCGAAAGAAGGGAGGAGGAAGTTTTGTTAAGAAAAAGATTATCCCAAGTCTTTAAGATAAGAGTGACGATGATGAGTCCGAGATGATGAGAAGAGGAAGAAAGAATCTTCTGAGAAACAACGATAAAGGTTTCTGGAGTCATGGGGAGAAAGACGAGCGAGGTTGAAGGAAGGAACTTATATAAGACATTGCAGAGACCGCAGCGATGATGTCATTGAGAAGTCGACTGGGCTTATGTAATGGGTGACTTTAGGAAAAACACCACTAGAGTACTGGAGGGATCACGATCAGATCTCAACACTGCCATCTCATCATTTCCGAGTAAGCAAGCCCCATCACATATGTTAGCTACATCAGCTGTTTAACCCTCAACCTTGCTGACATATCATCTCCCCTAACATCAGGTCCGATTCACCTCCTCCACGTCCTTCAATAAAGAAAGTCGTCGTGCGACGACCTTCCTCAGCCCACGCTCCCTCTCAAGCCTTGTCAGTTGTCGAATCCTCAGCTACCCGTCTTGCTACTTCACCAACTTCTGTCTGTTCTATCGCCGCAACGACTGCCATCTCATCATTTCCCAGTAAGCCTTGTCATCTGCATGAGCCGTTTACCCCTCAACCTTGCTCACATATCAGTAAACCCTACCACCAGCTCTGAGTCGTTTCATCATATCCTCAGGACTCCCTCCCGACTCGTCGCCTGACATCTTGGCCAACTTGTCCGTGGGAGCTACTTTCAGTCTGTTTTGCCCGCCTCACCCGCGTCCTCCTCTTCCCAGCACAGCGCCCCTACTGCCCCCATCCCCGGCTTGTTCAATATTCTTTTTTTTCAAGTCCTCACTAAAGAAGTCGTCGCGCGACGACATTACTCAGCCCACGCACCACTTCAAGCCTTTACCCAGCCCGTGCACCACTTCAAGCCTTATCAGTTGTCGGATCCTCCTCACCGGTCTTCCGCCATCTCATCACTTCCCAGTAAGCAAGCCCCATCATATATGTTAGCTACATCAGCTATTTAACCCTCAAACTCGCCGACATGTCATCTAACATCAGGTCTGATTCACCTTCTCCACGTCCTTCAATAAAGAAAGTCGTCGTGCGACAACCTTCCTCAGCCCACGCTCTCTCTCAAGCCTTGTCAGTTGTCGAATCCTCAGCTACCCGTCTTGCCAATTCACCAACTTCTGTCTGTTCTATCGCCGCAACGACTGCCATCTCATCATTCATTTTTGCCCGCCTCATCCGCGTCCTCCTCTTCCCAGCACAACGCCCCTACTGCCCCCATCCCCGGCTTGTTCAATATTCTTTTTTTTCAAGTCCTCACTAAAGAAGTCGTCGCCCGACGACATTACTCAGCCCACGCACCACTTCAAGCCTTATCCGTCTTCTGCCATCTCATCATATTCTCAGAACTCCCTCCCGCATCGGCGCCTGATATCTTGGCCAACTTGTCCGTGGGAGCTACTTTCCGTCTGTTTTGCCCGCGTTACCCGTGTCCTCCTCTTCCCAGCACAACAACCATACTTCCCCCATCCCTGGCTTGTTCGCCTTTTTTTTTCAAGTCCTCGCTAAAGAAGTCGTCGCGCGACGACCTTACCCAGCCCGTGCACCACTTCAAGCCTTATCAGTTGTCGGATCCTCCTCACCGGTCTTCTGCCATCTCATCATTTCCGAGTAAGCAAGCCCCATCACATATGTTAGCTACATCAGATGTTTAACCCTCAACCTTGCTGACATATCATCTCCCCTAACATCAGGTCCGATTCACCTTCTCCACGTCCTTCACTAAAGAAAGTCGTCGTGCGACGACCTTCCTCAGCCCACTCTCCCTTTCAAGCCTTGTCAGTCGTCGAATCCTCGGCTACCCGTCTTGCTACTTCACCAACTTCTGTCTGTTCTATCGCCGCAACGACTGCCATCTCATCATTTGCCAGTAAGCCCCATCATCATTAAACTACATCAGCTGCTCAACCCTTATGCCTGACTGACATGTCTAACCCCAACAGCAGTTCTGCGCCATCTGTCCTACATCCTCCAAGTAGAAAGTCGTCGGACGACAACATTCTGCAGCCCACGCTCTCACTACTTTAACAATCCTCCTTGATAATCTCGTCGGCTCCTCTGCTCCCGATCGACAAGTTTCACTTCAAAGGAAGCGCCATCATCTGTTGCACCTCTACTTCACAGTAAGCCCTGACCCCCATCATCTGCAGCCTTTGCCATCTTTTAGAGTCCATTGGCTGACATGTCTGGCGCCGTACTCCCTACATCATTCAATGACAAAGTAGCCACACACCAGTATTAAGCACCCCACGCTCCAACCTGAAGCAACTTCAACGTCCTCCTTTACCACAACATGATGTTTACTCCATCACCATCACCACATCCTTCTCCAAATAACAGTCACACCACGCGGCCAACTTCATCCCTTGAAACCCCCAGAAGCAAAGTAAGCTAGGATCATTTTCTAGACAACCCAACCCTCTGCTAAATCTAACTGTCTTGTCTTCCTCTCATTGTTTCAACTTGTACAGGCAATTCCCAATCAATCTACAGCAGGCACACTTGGCGTTGAACCCTCATCCCCAGCCCCAGAGACTGATCCTTCTGCACCTGAACTCAAGTGGCGCGGGGTGGATGAAATCAGAGGTACTCTCAAGCACAGTAAGTCTTCCTGACCAATTCACTCTTCTCCTGTCCATCATTCTGGCTCATGTGCTAACAAATGCCTTACAAACTTCAGTTAGAGCCAGGATAGACCAGCTACAGACGGAGCACTCTTCCATTTGTGGCAACTCCCCTAACTTGGACACTCTCCATGACCTTTACATCATGGGTCTAAAAGCCTTTGCCCAGGAAGCCAATGATAAGCTCAACAAGGCCAAGGCTGAGAAAATGAACTACGTATCTGGCCCGATCGACATTCCAGTACCAGCCAACATTACTCAGCCACTGGATCCACTCAAGCCCCAGGTCCAAGGCTTTGACTCAACCAACCAATCGACTGTTCATGCGGACCTTGAATCCCAGTCTCTGGTTACAGTTGCCGACTCCTTCCAAACGTCACCTCCCCAAAGCATCCCTGATCTCCCACCGAAAATGATCAACATCCTGACTCGACCTGAGGAGCAACTGAAGACCCACAAGTTGGGGTTAGCTGTATTATTCCTGCAGCTTAGCCACCGGATGGCTCGGCCGCCAAGAACTCTCTTATCCGCCCAACCAACCGACCGGTTTTCCATAGATCTCACCCAGTCTGATGATGAATCCCAAGACCTTGCTACATCCGCCGCAAACAGCTCTCAGGAAGAATTTACCAGATCAACTCTTTCAGACAATGACCAGACAAACCTGTCCACATCGACCTCGACCTCGAAGGATCTCGAACAGGAAAATACCAACACTGCTTTGAACCCAAACCGTAATGCTGTGGAATCTCAGAACTCCTTCAGTCAAGCGGCAGTAATTGTGGACAACCAACTCAGAGACCATACATGTCTCTCGCCAAATCCTGAGCTGGGGAGTGAACAGCTCCAGGCCGATCATCCTCCCTACACGAGCGGTCGATGCACGTCATCAACGCCTCAGGATGAGACAGAGCAAGAAGGTGTTGATGAAGAAATGAACGTCGCAGAACGGGCCACTGGAAACGGTAGCCAGGTTCAACAATCGAATCAATCTCAGAAGACAGGTCCAGCAGCTGAAACTTCAAACTCTGTTGCTGGGGAGACCGCCAATCCGGATCGTCGTGCTAGCGGTCAACGTACGTCGTCAACGCCACCAGACCAGACCGAGCGGGAAGGCGACGATGAAGACATGAATGACAAAGAACAGCCCGCTGGAAATGGTAGCCAGGCCCAGCCGTCAACTCCATCTCAGAAGACAGGCCAAGCTGCTGAAACTCCAAACTTTGTTGCTGGGGAAACTGCTGATCCGGATCGTCGTGCTAGCGGTCAACGGACATCGTCAAGCGGTCAACCCTCGTCGTCAACACCTCATGATGAAGAACAAGGTCAAGCTGCTGAAACTCTGAACTCTGGTGGTGGAGGGACCCCTGATCTGGATCTTTGTACCAGCGGTCAACGCATGTCATCAACGCCTCCGGACCAGACAGAGCGGGATGGTGGTGTTCATGAAGAACCGGCCACTGGAAACGGCAGCCAGGCCCAACAGCCGACTCAATCTCAGAAGACAGGTCAAGCTGCTGAAACTTCAAACTCTGTTGCTGGGGAGACTGCCAATCCGGATTGTCGTGCTAGCAGTCAACGCACGTCATCAACACCTCCAGACCAGACCGAGCGGGATGGCGACGATGAAGAAATGAATGACGGAGAACGGGCCACTGAAAACGGTAGCCAGGCCCAACAGTCGACTCAATCTCAAAAGACAGGCCAAGCTGCTGAAAATCCAAACTCTGTTGCTGGGGAGACCGCCAATCCGGATCGTCGTGCTAGTGGTCAACGCACGTCGTCAACGCCACCAGACCAGACCGAGCAGGAAGGTGACGATGAAGAAATGAACGACAAAGAAAGGGCCACTGAAAATGGTAGCCGGGACCAACAGTCGACTCAATCTCAGAAGACTGACCAAGCTGCTGCGGATCTTCGTACTAGCGGTCAACGCACGTCATCAACACCTCCAGACCAGAGCGAGCGGGAGGGCGACGATGAAGAAATGAATGACGGAGAACGGGCCACTGAAAACGGTAGCCAGGCCCAACGGTCGACTCAATCTCAGAAGACAGGCCAAGCTGCTGAAAATCCAAACTCTGTTGCTGGGGAGACCGCCGATCCGGATCGTCGTGCTAGTGGTCAACGCACGTCGTCAACGCCACCAGACCAGACCGAGCGGGAAGGCGATGATGAAGAAATGAACGACGAAGAACGGGCCACTGAAAATGGTAGCCGGGACCAACAGTCGACTCAATCTCAGAAGACGGCTGGAGCCACAGGTGTTAACAGCGGGTCTCAAGAAATTACTCAATCTGAGAACAGAGGTGGCGACAGGGAAGGCAACTCGGAAGGTCTGAACTTGGCAGACACCACCGACCGACAGCAAGAAGAGACGGCCAACCGCAATGGCAACACTGGTGGAGCTTCTCAGCGCCCCAAAAGAAACACCAGCAAATCGAACCCTCACGTCCAATCCCAAAGCTCCTCGTCCAAAAAACGCAAGTCTCACGTTAAAGCGCCCAAGCCTCAATCCAAACGTCAGAAAGGTGGAGAGCCCCCGGATGCACCAGACACTACAAACAATACTGATTTCGCCCCAAGAAAAAAACAGCAATTTGGATGGTGGAAAATAGATCAATTTTCTGGCACTTTTTTACAAGATGCCTCAGGAGTAAAAAATTAGGCTAAAATGAGCTATTTTAGCCAAAAAATAAAAATGTCTCAAATGAGCTAAAAATTCATTTTGGAATGTTTGATGAATTTCTATCTCTTGGCTAAAATAGCTCAGTTTAGCCTAATTTCTACTCCTGAGGCATTTTGGAAAAAAGTGCCAGAAAATTGATCCATTTTCCCCCACCCAAATTGCCATTTATTGTTGGGGCAAAATGGGTATTGATTGTAGTGAGATGGACAGCGATCTGAGTCAGGGGAGGGTGAAATCACCTATGAGAAAGATTTTGGCATGTTAAAGAGACCCATCGACATGACTTGTAAGTTATTCCACCTTCTTGCAGCTTACAAAAGTAGTATGTACTGACCTCAATGCCTTACAGTACTAGTTCTACCAAACAGGGGATCAAGGAATCAGAAAATGTACTATGACATGTATGAGGGCTTAACCTGCGCTCGACCTGAGCCGGGCCAGTTCATCAAACCTCTTCTCAGAAACATCATCGGATGCATTCTACACAACCAACATCTTGCACCAGAAGAGCCGGTTTTCCTCGGTAACAACTGCGACACCTGGAAAGATGATTTGTCTGCCTTTTTCGACGATGGCCTTCCCCAGATTGTTCATTGCTGTGAGTTTTTAGTCTTGCTCACTGATACTTTTTGTAACTAACCCAGCCTTTCTTTATGTATCTCTAGGTCCTTGTCTCTTTCAACTCCCATTTCCGCACCCATTCTTGAACAAAAAAAACGTCCGGTTAGAAGTGCTAACCCAAGGCATCAACGAAATGATACCTGATCGTCGGGGCGGTGGCTGGGCAGCCCTACAACAGATGATGTGCCGAAACTCATCACGGGTACCCCACAACTCAGGCGACTTCCAAGGAACAGTCAAAGCGGGAGTTAAACGATTGCAGCAAGCACTCCGCGACTGCGTCACTCACATCAAGCCCAACGATGGCCAGTGTCCACTTCCTTCTATTAATGACACACAGGAAGAACAAGAAAGGCAAGGCCTTGGCGCAGCAACGGTTTGGCTTTACGATCAAGTGACAACTGTCGGTGTACCCGTGGACCTGTCCGCTTGCCCACGCCGTTCTTCGGAAGGCTTGAACTTCATCTACAAGAGAGCCTGGGAAATGCTTTTAGCTGTAGCCCTTATATACTACGGAGCTGACACTGCAGAACGCCAGAAAGACGGCCAGAAGGGCAGACCGGGTGAAGATGGACGTATCCAGGGACCGCCTGAATTGCGACGAGCCATCATTAATGGCAAGGGGACGCCAAAGGCTAAGGCGGACGCTTGGCACGAAGCGAGGCTGAAATCGTACTCATCACTAGCCCTGTTCCTCACCTTTGGAGTAGCAGGTTGGTTCCACTGCCAGACTGACAGACGAAAATTCAACATCCGTGACGTGTTTTCGCTTTACACTCTGGCCAACGAGATGGCCCACGCCAAAGTGTCTATTAACTCAATCCTGTACCATGGCTCCTCAACGAAATCTGCCCCGTCTCGGATTCCTTCACCATGGCAGCTTCTGAACAACCACCTCATCCGTCTTCTCACGGAAGCCAATGTAGGGCAGCCTCAGCTTGATTGGTACGACGCGGTTATTATCTGGGAGGAGGGGCTTACACTCGACCGACTGGCCCCGCTCATGATGAAAGACTTTCTATCTGAGGTCCTTGTTGGGGGCCCTTCACTCTCTACTACAGCTACAGATGTTCCAGATGTAGAAGGATACAGAGGGTTGGAAGATGAATGGACTCTCCGAGCAAAGAGGATGCTGTTGGGAGCCGAAGACCATCAGCTAATGCTTTTGCAGAGGCTAGAGGCAAATGGAGTGATCACAACAGAGTCAGGTGAGGAAGAAGCTCCGGATGGTGAGGAAGAAGCTCCGGATGGTGAGGGGGACATCTCATGAAGGTTGTTGGAATATGTAGATTTTCATTGTGATTTCTGTCTGTTTTTTGTAATCAAATTACAGCCTGGCTGACTTCAGCAGTGAGCCACTATGAGGTTCACATGTCTTGTGAATTAAGGTGCTGGTTACTGAATGCATACAGTGGCTGTGCTGTGTGTTATGTCTTCTGAATTAAGGTGATAGTGGCTGGTTACTGACTGCATACCACAATGGTACAGTGCCTGTGCTGTATATTGCTGTACTACCTCTCTTCAAGCCACATTGACTGTATTGAGATCCTCAATTCAGCCTCCTGTCAGATCCATGCATGTTTATTTGGTGATTCCCACAACCCAGCCCAAAACATTATAATATAAAAGCTGGCTGGTCTATTTGTCTGTCCTCACCTTACTCCTACAGCTCAGTCTGGCTGTAACAGAATGGCACTCCCCACTACACAACACAAAACCAAAATTCAACCAGCTCCCAAGAAGCGTCAAGTCTCCAAAGGTACTAGAACACCAACTGTGAGTTACTCTCTTATTTTTTATAGATGCCATGCCCCTTGGATCAAAGCCAATGGTTTGCAATTGCCTCAATTCAGGGTGAAGGTACTGGAAGCCTCCCACTAGCCCAACATGACCTTCCCACAATGAACAGGAAAAAGAATAATGTCAGTTCCTATACCACATCACCAGAGTCTTCATTAGCAACTGACCCACTTCTCACTGGCATGTAACAACAGGAAACTGTTTCAACAAATGAAACTGAAAGGTGGCAAACCCTACCATTCCACCTTACAGGGAAAAGGATTCCCTCCAACCTCAAGCAGAGCCAAATCACCAGCTATCCCATATTTGTGGGCCAGAAGGAGAATCCCATTGTAAGCTGATTAGTCTCTTGCCATTAATTTGCACTGTAAATTTGGTTGTTCATGTTTTATGTATGAACATTTGATCTCACAGGTGATCAGGTCTGATCCCCATCCTGATCCAGAAATCTCCCAGCCAGGCAATGGGATGGTAAGTCCAACAAGCCCACCATCTTCAGTTTCATTGGTAAGGGTGTCACTGAGTGGATGCATATATATTTTATCAGGAGATGGGGTCCAAGCAACTTGCTCCTGACAAATCTCCTATAGATATAGATTCTAGTTCGGATGAGGATATACCTTTGTCAAAACTCCTCCCCAGAGAAGGCATGTCTCATCCACCAAGCCGTAGCATGGAACGAGTTTATCCGATCTCACCTGTCAAGAGACCACCTTGTCCGACCGATTTTGCGCCACCACGATTTGTGCATGCATCTACACAGACCGACTTTCAGCCATTGGTTTCCACAACTGTACATGCATCCACCCAAACAGCTTCCAGTCAACAATACTGTACTGAAATGGTCATGCTAAAGAGCCCAACCCCTGTGGTATGTTTTCCAATCATCTGTCACCAATAGCATCACCCAGTATTTTTGACGCATCAAACATAATCAGGCCCCACAGATTCAAGATCGACCGGCAAAAAGAGCTGACAAAGGTTGGAATTCTCAGCCCATTAAGAGGCTTAAGAACTGGATCACACCTGGAGCAGAAAATCAAGAGAAGGCCCTGGTGAAGTATGTGGAGGTTGGATCATCACACATCAAGGACAAACCTAAGTTGATTGCCTGGGTAGATAAAAAGCAATCTGCTGGTTCCATGATGGACATACTGTTTATGGAATTTGAAAAAGAATTGCTGGCAAACCAAGCCAGCCATGTTATATGCCCTGATTCTATCAAACAAGAACCATTAGACTAAGCAATATCTGAGTAGATCATTATATTTAAATTCCTTTTCTTAGTAAAATCTCCCCTTGGTGGTCATTTAAGACTCAAAGATCAAAGTCTCATTGGAGGCATCTTCCTTCCCTGGATAGAATGACCTAATTTGATACCAAGCAATAAGAACTGATAAAATACAATACAGTGGATGAGCTCAAAAAGATACTGTAGACAAAAGGGTTCCAATGACATTTGGAAGAAGTGAGAACTTCCCAGTAGTTAGGTTTGATATAGTGAGAGGGTTAGGGTTAAGAAACATCACTGATTCTGATTAAACAAAAGGGCTGCTGTGCCACTAACTAACTGCCTTTCCCCCTCTGCACTGCTTTTCCTCTAAGCTCATCAATAAGAAAGTATCACAAGACTACATTGCCCCCCCACATCTAACCAACCCAACAACTCCAAACACTAACCTCCTGCTATACATCACATCTGACAATCACCACACCATTCCATGGCATCCAACATTATGGTAAGTAGATGTCCAAGTTGAGATCCAAGCTCATAAATCAGGATTACAGACTGACTATTTTAGTCAAGAAGATAAACCCTAACCCCAATTTAGGCAATTTCAAATATGGAGACCAGGTATGGCCAGTCACATCCACCTTCTCTTCCAGGGCATTGACTTTCCCAATGACAAAAACTAATGATTTGAATTCCCAG